TTACTGAAAAATGGTGACATAATGCACTCACTTGGGAGCAAGTTTTCAGGAGAAACTAGTAGAAGAAACTGAGTAAAAGCAGAGTAGAAACTAAAAGAATACATGGTCAGACCCTATCCATATATACACACTTATCTACCCTTCAAGCATCTTTTGTACCTACTACATGCCAAATCAAAGTTTGGGTGCTGGGGAATCAGCCATGATCAAAACAAATCCCTGCCATCTGTTCTAGAGCACGGGTCAGCAAAATTTTTCTGTAAAGATCCAGATAGTAAATAAGCACAAATTTGCAAGCCACAGAGTCTCTGTGACAACTACTCAACCTCTGCTGTTTTAGTGAAAGCAGCCACAGGCACTATGTAAATAAATGAGCATGCCTGTGTTCCAATAAAATTACAAGAACAGGCAGCAGGCAGGATGACCAGGTAGGGTCTTACAGGCCACCCTCAGGCCTGTGGCTGTCGTTTTGGCTGAGATGGGGAGTCACTGGGGTCTCACTGCAGAACAGTGACACTATCACTCTTAAGAAACATCCTTACTAAGAAGGATTATTTCAGCTACTATGTACAGCAATCAGTCGAGAGCAGGAAAGCAAGATGATGAGAAACGTAAAAGCAGAGAGAGCAGTTCAGAAGTTACTGTAAGGAAACTGGGGAGATAAATTTGCCTCGTGCCAGGATGGCAGCAGTAAGTGTGACAAAGAAGTGGTCCGATTCCAATTACGTTTAGAAGATGGAGTTATGATTTCCTAATGAAATGGGTGTGGGGTGAGAGAAGAAGAGTCACGGATGACTCCCGAGGTTTGCGAGCTGAGCAGAGAAAGGGACAGCCTTTGCTGTGATGGGAGAGTGTATTGCAGGGGCCAGGTTGGGGTGGAAAATCAGTTTAGTTTTGGACATGTTAAGTTTGAGATGACCTTTTATACTAAAATGGATATATTAGGCAGATTTTAGATACACACTTCTAGAGTTGAGGAAAGAAATTGTTGATATAAATTTGAGAATTAAGTTAGTATTTAAAACCAGAGACAGGGTGAGGTCATCTAAAGTGTGAGTATATATAAACAAGGGAAGGAGTTTAAACTATGAACCTTTTGTTACTCCAGCATTTGGAAGAACCAACAAAACAAAATTAAAAGATAGGAAGAACCTGGAGAGAGTGGTGCCCCTAAAACTTAGGGAAACCAGGTTTTGAGAACAACTCTTCCAAACATTAACTATTGTTCAAGTGAAGTGAGGACTCAGAGTTGACCATGGGACTGACAACAGAAGTCACTGAGGACCCTTGACAAGAACTGCTGCATGATGTACAGGGACCGAAGAAGCCTCACTGTAACAAGTCCAAGAGAGATGAAGTTCGGAGTGCAGTCAGTGAGCGTGCACGACTCTTTCCTACAGGGAGATGCAGCAGCGAAGGAGTTCGGTGGTTTAGATGCAGAATCTTACAGCGCGTTTGCTGATAAGGACTTACTATATATTTCAAAATGCCTAGCTGTACCACAGTTATGCTATGGATTAAAGTCACAGCCCTGGACTCTCACATGTTATCCTCAGAAAGATAATGAAGTATTTTTCTTCACCTCTTCATTAGCTTTATAACACAATTTTACTGTATTTCCCAAGTCCTGACCCAAATCCCCTACATTAAATAGGTTTTTACTTCACCTACTATAAAAATAGAATGCCAGTTCATTTTTATGTATTTCCTATTTGCTTAATGTTTCTACTTCCAGCTAAATACTTTTGGCAAATTAGAGGGTTCTAGCAGTAAGCCTGAGGAATTGCTATCGTATAGGGAGGTAAGTAATTCTAGATGTTTGTGCTTGAATACAATTTGTTTCTTTCAAGAGTCACAAGTTAAGCATACGTCCTAGTAGCCAATGCTCAGTCCATAACCCATGGAAAGAACTACCACCCTCAAATATCGAAATAAAATAAGCAAAAGCGACTGCAATAGAACCTTGATAGGAACTGCTTAGTTTCCAAATGCTTAATGTAAAAAATAAATCATAGTTCCTAAGTATGGCTTGCCATACAGACTTTAGAACTCTGGAGTGAATAAAATGGTTCCACTTCACTTAACCAATGATCCGTTTATATTCTTATATGCCAGCTTAGGAACAATGGTATTTCTTTCATATGCTAAACTCTGTATTCTAGGTTCCAAATGACAATGTTGGTGTTTTGCTTTCTGAAGCACATACTTAGAGAATAATGTTTTTTGCCTGGAATTCAAAACACATTTACTATTCATCATCGTCACTATGCAATTCAATCAAGATCTGAATAGTAATGTCTTCTTCTTATAAACAATAATAATTTTTCTAAAAGGATGCATAGGTAAAAAGACGAAACTGATTACGTAAAATACAGCACCAGTGTGCTTCTGAGATAGCTGAAAAAGGGAACCCTCTAAAGGGGCAGACCCTGCAAACAGTTTGGTATCGCTTTAGAGTGGCCCAAACTTGGATGGACTTTTGTTATAAATCATCTTGATTAATGGAACACATTTACTAAAGTGGTTCTGTAATAGCTATACAATTCTTACAGCTTGAAAAATCTAACCTAGAAAAACTGGTGGGGGTGAAAAAAACCTTCAAAACTCACTGGATTCTCTTTAAGGACCAATACTGCCCCTGACCAGGAATAGATTCCTTTCTTTTTAAAAATAATAAAGACAAATACATTTTAAGGGAAGTACAATATGATGAGATGGGAATAGAAATAATAATAGATACGTAGAAGATATTATGGGAGGAGAAGCTGTAGCATGTTAAGGAGTACAAATTTTCGGTGGAGCCAGGCTAACTATATTTGAATTCCAACTATTTCTCTCATTAACTGTTTGAAATTGGGCGATTTATTTAACCTCCCTGTTTTTAGTTTTTTACAACTGTCAAATACTACTACTACCTATCTCATTGGGTTGCTGTTGTGATAATTAAATAAATTAGCTCTTATAAGAGTTTCAACAGTGTCTGGTACAGAATACATACATAAGTGTTGGCCAATATTATCACAATTATGTTTGCACACTTATAAACATACAAACCAAAGTCAATGGAATATACTGGAACAAAATGGGAGTATCCTCTAATTTATCCATTCACTAAACATAATAAAAATTCAACGAACATTTTCCTTAAGTAGAATATTAAAAAAAAAAAGATCTACATCTTACAGCCCTCTGGTTGTCTTTTCTGATTACTTAGCAGAGATTTTATCTACATCCTTTTGTCCTGATATTTCTCCTCTAATGACTCAAAAAGAAAACAACAACAACCTCAGTGTGTGTGTGCTGCCTAAGTACCCAGATCCTGGATACTATCATTTATATGTTTTACTGATTTGTACATAAAATACCCTTACTGTGCCATGTATAATGCTCACTTTTTGCCTCAATTTTTGAGGGAAACATAAGGCTGCACATTACATGTGGGTATAAGGATTACAGAACAGGGGAAATAACCCCATGTATTATGCGCAAAAAACACTGCGGTGCGCATTATACACAGGAGCACACTATGCACAGCAAAATACAGTACTTCTCGTCTCGAGCATATGCTTGTTGCTAAAACAATTCAGAAGTTACCAGAATGCCTTAACAAATGATAATAGTTATATGAGGGTGCAACCATTATGTAAAATTCTGACATTTTTGAAGGATAAAATAATATAGTGTCCTGATAACATCCAAAGAAAAACAGCTTACCTGATAGCATGCTATCAACCTCAAGATTATCATCACCACCAGCTAACTATCATGAGCGTGTTTAACACTATGGTAATAAACATCAAAAACATTTGCACAGCTGATCCACAGTCTATTATGGATGGTAAATAAGTGGACTGATTATGTAACAGTCAAGTGAGCAAACTTACTTATAGAGCAGTCAGAGGCTATTTATAGTTCAAAATAAATTTACAGTGATGAAGACTATTTAACTCTTAATTATATGCTTATATTAGGGGTGAAGATAGAGGTAAAGTTAGTTAATAGATGTAACAGCTATATTAATAATTTGAGAGTGACACAGAAATTTTCAACAAAAGGAGAAAATTAATTACAATTATCAGAGGAAGAAAACTGTATGGCGAGTAAAGGCCACCCTCCTCTGCCACAGCTCTGTCACTGTGGCCATGTGACTGGGAAAGGAGGCAGCACATTACACCTGCTCTTCACTCTTCCACGATGCTGCTTTTGGACAGGTAAGTTGACTAGACCAAAAGTACATGCAATTTCTATTCTAAAAACTTTAAGTAGGATTTTTAAGAACTAAACTACAAGCTTTATTTGATTTTACTATTGTAGATTTTCCTTTCATAAGTCAGTTGGAAATATGTCTATGCCAGGAACCCAGACTGCATTTAGCTGGGATATCTCCTTTGCCTTCTCCCATCTACCATAATTCCTGTCTCTCCTTGTTTTTCATGACCTTGACATTTTTGCAGAATAGTGGTCAGTTATGTTGCAGAATAATCCTCAATTACCTTGGTTTGTTTGATGTTTCCTCATGATTAGACTGAGGTTATACCCTCTTTTGCAAGAATACCACAGAGTGCTTCAAGTCAGGGGCTACACTATGTTGATCTGTCCTGTTGTTCGTGAAATTAACCTTAATCACTCAGTACAGGTGGTGAACATCAGATTTCCCCTCTACAAAGTTGCTGTTTTTCCCTTTGTAACACATATCTTGGGAGAGATACTTTGAGCCTATGCAAATATACCATTTTCCCTCAAACTTTGGCCCAATATTTTGACATCTGTTGGTGAATAATACCTGCAACAATTATTACTGAGATGTTGATACAGGGTTTTGAAAGGAAATGAAATATAAAATATAATGACCAAATAGTTCTTGATACAAACATACTTAAAATTCCACTTAATGTAGCGCTTTAAGTTATATTCAAAATAGAAATGTCATTTTCTGTTGTTTTCACTTAATGTCAGCAAATTATTAAACCAATGAATAACATAATTGAAATGTTACTTACATAACTATGGCTTTTAAAGAACTCTGATGGACTTTTGGTGAGCATTTTGTCTCCTTCCAAAGCAATCACTCTTTTACAAATATTTGACCTTGGATCACTCGGGCTTTTTGCAATCACAATGTCACCTCTGAGGGAAAAAGTCAAAGAAATGACAGTGTTATTTATTGAGCATAAACATAAACATGGTATCATTATTACACTTTTATAACGTAACCTAAAACCATACCCTTTATCCTCTTGCAGACTGGCTCTTCCATATACTGACCAGCTTTAAGAACCTTCATGACTGACTTTTATGCATTAGAATCCAGCAATGAAGGGGATGGAAAAACTATTAGAAGATTCTAAAATTTCTGATGATTCCATAAAAATTATCTTCTTTCACTGTATCCCTATGCATTACTTCTTGCCCAAATGTTTAGAAACAAAACTATGGGAAGACAATTCCATGTAAATACCACCAAATTCCCTAGGGCAACTTGACTGCCCAGCCAGGAGCACTGACGGACTCTAGAGCACACAAAAGACAGAAACACGATCTGTGTTTCCCTAGGGCTCGAAGTACGAGGAATTACAGCACGTAAGTTATATGACCCAGACAATTTACCGTAGAGTAAAACAGACATATCTGAGTGAAAATATCAGAAGACACACCCAAGTAAAATGCTAAAAGCTGCCCCAACATATATACTGCAAACATAAATTGGCATGATTCATGAAAGAAGTAACAATCTACATGTCTTAAAAAATAAGAGCTTTAAAGTGGAAAGGAAGATGGAGACCACAAATGTAGGAGTAATGCCTCAATGATAACAAGATGCCCTTTCTGCTAAAATGAACAATAAGTGAACTATTGACTAACACACATTTGAAAGGATTTAGTATATTTAGTTATTACCTATACCTAGTTCCAGAAATAATTTGATGTTACTATAAGCTTTTGCACATAAAGGTCAATATCTTATTCATCTTAACACCCTCTCTAATGTACAGCACATTTTATAAATTAAGTGCTCCTTAACTATTTGTTGAAAGAATAAATAGCAGTGAGACTGTCACTGTCTCAAGTAAAAGTGTTCTGCACATCTGACTGAAAAGTGATCCATGAGCCAAACGTGCAGACTTCCATTTTGCCTAAAATGGATGGTCACTGTGGCTTTAGAAACAGGCAGAAAGTAAGAGTGTCTGAAATCTTAGATCTCTGTGCTACAGATAAAAGAAAGAATACTCAAGACAGTAGTATTTTTAAAATAGTAGTTACCAACTGACTACCTTGGCTGTAAAAGTTACTTAGGTATGTCTCATAAAAATGCCAAATTTTGAGCTGTTTTTCAATCTAACAGACCCCTGAATTAATAGAATACAAAATGAAACCCTTGAAGGATCATTAATTGTCTTAATGTAGTTATTTGTACAATATTACCCATCTGAATACAAGGAGTAGCTATAAAAAAATACAATGTTGAGCTATTCATTCAAAAACTATTTAGCCAACAAGCTCAGCCCCTTGGTAAGGAAGCTCAAGAACCAGGAGAGCAAAATCAGGTTATCAGCATGGAAAGCAGAAACTTGTCTTCCTGATACAGTGAGGCTAGGTTTCCAATTAATCTAAAGACCTTATTATGATATTTTGATATAAGTTAAAAAGAAAAGAAGCTAGAACACAACCTCTGATGCAAGTTTTATTTTAAAACCCCATATGTATATATATTGAGTAGGTATCTTGAAGTTGTTATGGGTGAAAGATCTGAGGAAGGATTACCTAGGTGCCATGCTAGGCCATAGAGCTTGACAAAGATGCAGTTTCTTTGTACAGAATCTAAGCTGGTAAGATCCGTATATGCAAAAAACATACTAGAGAAAAGGTCATTGAGAGCAGAGTGTCCAAACCTACTTTTGCCATAAGCTAAATACCAGCTAGATTGATTCAAATTTGTAGCTACTGGAGAGGATATCTGGTATAAATTTATTTTTTCGAAATTATGAAAAACCAATGGACCCCCCCCCAATTTTAGGGCATCCGAGAGGTGTCCTTTAGAAAATACATAAAAATTTTAATGCATGACATGCATTCAGAAAGAATAATACTCATGGAGTTAACCAGAATAAATAGTATTAGAGAGGTGGAAACACCATTTAGTTAGGCTTTAAAAAAGATTTAGTGGCAAACTGTATTTGCCAAGGAGTTTTTCATCTTAATTAATCAGAAGATGATGGCAGAGGAGATTCCTAATCCCCACTATATACAATGCTATAGTTTAAAAAGCATCAAGTGCTCATCATAGGCTATAGAAAATAAAACAGTGGTCAACAGGAATAGGATTATTTTAAACATTTAGAAACCAAATCAATGATTTGGGTATGTAAAGGAGTCCCTAACTGTCTGGTTCTTGACTTGAAACATTCTAGCCATCCCCACCCCTTGCCCCCACCAAAAAAAAAGAGTAAGGTAGGCTTGACTGTACATAAAAAAAAACACCTGCTATTTATGTTTGACAATGATGCAAAGGACGTAATCACCCAAGAAACCATGCATGCTGGAGAAACTATTAAAATTTTCTCAAACTAAGAGAGAACTTTATCTAGCTTGTCACTCTTTTGTATTTATTAAAGAGCTCTTAGATAAAGCTAAGAAACTGCAGAAAATACAGAGTAAGTGTGTGTGTTTTCACCAGAAACATAACATATCTATGACTGATATACCTTTGGATACCATGAAAATGTCGACTAAGATTTTCTGCAAAGACAATATCTGAATTTTGAATTGTAGGCTCCATTGATGGTCCAGAACACTGAAAAGAGATAATTTTGTAATTTAAGTTGAAAACCTTTTAAAATATAACACAAATCATCTGTGCAGGCTTAAAAGAGAGAAATCAAGCAAACATTTTTCCAGCTTAGAAGATGACTCATAAGGAACAGGCAGCTCCCACAGAAGTTCAACTCTGCAGAGTGGCCACCAAGTTGGGAAACACAGGCAAATATATTTAAAATGGTCTGTTGATAATGCACGATACTATGTGAATAAAATAATTACCTGTGTTTGCAAATTTTGGCCATCCTGTAGAAAGTAAACTATTCAGTCCAGGGACCTTGCCTCTCGTGTTGCCAGCTTTGTAACCAAGGTCAAGAACAGTGCTTGGTATAAAGCTGATCCCAAAACTCATGCTGAATGAATAAAGGAACGCTTTATTTATTTTATTATTATTGTCATATATTGAGTACCCATGATGTTGATTTATTAGATGGTTTCATATATTCTCAGCGAGCCTTTCCTTCTCTTCTAAGAGAACAGCTTACTCATTGATGGGGCTGTAACATACTTTATACTGAAAAATAGTGGCATAATAAGATGTACTTTAAGACCTCACACTAGTATGCCTTGAAAGATAATCTCCATATGTACCTCAAAACTGTAATAAATGATCACTGTTACCTTAAAAAGTCTAAATATGACAGTCTCTATTACTCCACTTACATGGTAAATAATTTTTACTCAAGTCTTCCTATCCCGGCAGAAAATAATAAAGAACACGGTGAAAGTTTATGTTTACTACCTCTATAGCCCATTGGAAATTTAAAAGATCAGAGGGGAGTTGCAGTTAAATACATTTATTTGCATTACTCCAGCTCAACTTGAGGTTGTATGACTGAATCTTTTAGGGTAAACCTGATAATAGCAACATCAACAACAACAAAAAAAACACTGACTTGAAATTCAATCAGTGATTTCATTTCTATGACAAAAGATGAGTACAGTCACACTTGACAGATTTGTCGTGCAATATTTTTAAAAAATCACTTGTGGGGAGCATCCTTAACATTTTAATAGTGACACGAGTGAGAATAGTCATTTGCTTTAATGACAGTTGAACACAATGGTTAAGAGGAGGTGTTCTGAAATCTGGAGAAATCTGTGTTAAAATTCCCAGTCTATTTACTAACTGGGATCTAGAGCACCCAGTTAGTAAATAGAATTTTACTGGGAATTTTAAACAAGTTCTTTAAGCTTTCTGAGCTTCTGGCTCATCATATGTATAGTAGATTTCTAATAAGCATCTCATAGAGTGTAAAAATTAAATGTGTTAATAAGTATGAAACATTGCATACATCAGGGAACACTTTAGCATTAAATATATGGCAAAAACTAGAATTCTTACAGTATTAATAGGGTCTTTTGTGCTTTATCAGAAACAGAATACAAGTACAGTCTCTTACATCCAAAATTTACAAAGACATTATGTTTTTAAGTCAAACTTTATTCATTAAACCAATAACTTCAATATTATATAATAAAGGGGAAAACTCATTTTCCCTCAATTTAAAAAAAGTATACATTTAAAATGATTATTTTCTTGAATGTAAAAACTTACCATGACAACACCACCAACGTATTCAAAAGCACAATGAGCTATACAGCCATACTGGATAGTATAGCCAACAAGTCGAAAGGTTTTTCCCAGAATACCACGAAGCATAGTTCTATGTAGACTCTGTCACCATTGGCCTGATGGTAAATTTTAAAAAGTTTCATGAACACTACTATTTTCAAACACTTAAGAAACAGCTCTATTTTAAAATATTTTATAATCACCCAGAATGTGCTAAATGTACATAGCAGTTAAATGCAGAAAAGCAACAGCTTATTTTGATTTCTGCTAGAGATATTTTAAATGACAAATTTTAGCCACTTACTATTTTGATGCACTGAAAAAAATTATATCCAACTATCACTGGGTTTATATATGATGTAGGTAACTAGAGGACTCTGAACTTGTCTGTCCCCTTTCATATCCTATGAAAGGCAGACACCTGTGGAAAAATATTAACTCTTTCAAAGTACTAATAATAGTTTTTCATATTGTTCCCTACTACATCACAGCAGTTCTTGTTATATGATAGGATATAAAGGAGAAAGCACTGGAATAGGTATGTGGAAATTCAAGTATTAAATTGGTTCTCTTCTTAATTTGTGTGACTGTCAATTAATTATTTCTCTGGGCCTTCATACAATGGAAATATCTCACAGAATGGATCTGAGAATCAAATTCAATAGCACAGTCACATACGTGCTTTGTAAGTTATAGTTACATTCAGATTTCTAACTTCCTAGCATAAAGTTAGAAAACACTATGTGGGATGTAGGTGACAATGGCTTCTTGCAAGACATAAAAAATCCTCAAACACCAACCAAAGTAACAGCAATGACAATAATAGCAAATACTTAAATAGTAGTTCTTGCTATGTGTTCAGCACTGTTCTAATTACATCGACACATTTAATTCTTGTAATAACCCTATGATGACTTAGATACCTTACTTATAGATAAAGAAACTGAGGGAGAGAGAGGTTAAGGAACTATTCAAAATCACACAATTCACAGGCAATAGTCAGAACTCAGAACGAGGCAGTTGGGACTCTAAAATCCACTGCTATTCTCTACTGCTACTCAATTAAAATAAATGTGCTGGAAACTGTAAAATAGGCATGGGAAAGAGAGAGATTGGACTGATGTTAAAACTAGCTAAAAAGATTAAGCAGAGTGAACACTAGAAACTAGACATTTCTCCATCCTTAGCCACTTCTGGGATAGTTTCTAGAATAGTGCTTGATTTAAATCTATCCATCTTTTGATGTTGGCGAAGTGATTTCAGAACACCCCAAGCCACAAAGCAAACATTCAATGGATGGTTCAGGTCTGGAACACCTTTTATTTATTTATCTTTTAAGATTTTATTTATTTATTTTCGGAGAGGGGAATGGAGGAAGAAAGAGAGAGAACAACATCAAAGTGCAAGAGAAGCATGGATTGGTTGCTTCTAGCACGCCCCCAAGCAGGGACTAGGCCTGCAGCCCAGGCATGTTCCCTGACCAGGAAGCGACCCTTGGGTTTGCAGGACAATGCCTAACCCACTGAGCCACACCAGTCAGGGCTGCAATTCCTTTAAAAGAGGATAAAGCATTTTGTCTCAGAAACAGGAAAAAAATGCAATGTCAATGTTAATTGAAAAAACTATTTTATAGAAATTCATTCATTTTCGATTTATAAGCAGCCAAAATGATTAATATATATTTTTCTTTTAATGAGAAGAACAATTTGTCACTACATTAGCATTTAAAGAAATGTATATATTAAGAAAAGGTGAGGAGAGAGAAGATGTGAAGCAGAAGACAAATCCCCAAACCCTAGTTTTGCTCCATATATCTTCAATTGGACAAGGAAAAAGCAGCAGTCAGGATATTCCTGAGACTTCCATGATTTCTCAAATTCAAGAATACCTACACAAAATACAGTTCCTCATATAATAATATACATAAAGTAACTGAGAGACACATGTCCATTTCAGACCCTGAATGGAAGTTACTGTGACTAGCTAGGAGAGAACAACAAAGACTCATTAAGACACGGATGCTGAGTGATGTACTCTGCTCAATAGCTAAATAATTCACTCACACAGCAGCCTCTCTATCAGAGCAATTCAAAATCCTGCCATTTCAAAACCACCTTCAGGGCTGCTCATGAATTGTTCAAACCTATAATGTTAAATCTACTGTAAGACTTGTGTAGAGGATATTTTTTTATTTTCTAGAACTGCAAATTCAAGGAGCTCTGATCCCCATAATCTATGAAGATTTTACAATATTTAAACCTATTTATTTTGATTCATTGCCAGAGGAAATAATTGCCATCACTTCAAGGTTTAAAGCAGTAAATAGTGTTTTAAATGTGACTGTAGCATCAAAATAACCTGAGAGCTGAATTCAAAATCCAAATTCCTAGGCTCCCATCAGAGAACTAAAGAATGACAATCTATGAGAGCAAGGCTGCAGAATCTGCAGTTTCAATAAGCTCCCAGAAAGGAAAGCCAGTAGAAAACTTTGTGCTGCTATTTGAGACCACTGAGATATATTAAACACTTACGCAAATTTGACAAAATTTAACCATTATTTTAAACTGAATGTTAAGTTTAAAATAATTTTATAAATTGTCATTAAATTTTATAATGCTAATATTTCAGTAATTTAAAAAACCCAATGTTATTTTCTGAAGTTAACTTTTTACATATACCCCAAACCAACACAAACACATTTTTATGTTTAAAAAGCATGAACAGTCACTACTTTTAATATAATCAACTACCAGCCTCCAAACAGTGAAATACTAAAACCATTTCATTCATCTCCACTAATAGTGCCCCAAAGGCTACACACACACACACACACACACACACACACACACATATATAATCCACGTGTTTCAGGACAATATACAAGTTGTATGAGCAATAGTTGAAGGATATGCACTAACAACGAAGAAGTATCATTTAGCATTATCACTGACTAGCTGTCAAGGTGCCAGTCTACAGTTCATGAATGGCTCTTAATATGATACCAGGTCTCATACATTACCAGAGGAGAAAAAAGAGGTTATCATCTCTAAATCCAGAATTGCTTATCCACACCCTGCTATTTTGTTACACGTGACTTACTCCTTTCTTAAAATAAAAATTTCTCTTCTAGTTTGTCTTACCCTTTATCTCTTTCTCTTATCTCTAAAAATACCTCCCTTAACTCTTGCTGACATCATCAGGAGTCATTTATGTACCATATTTTGCCTTGTATAATGTGTAACTTTTTTGTGCAAATTTTTGAGGGAGAAATAGGATGTGCATTATACATGGGTAGTACTAACTCTGTTTCTATATACTGTAAAATGAAAGATTTTTTTCCCCCTGGGAGTTTGGGCCAAAAACATGGGGGTACATTATACACAAAAAAAATATGTAACAGATAAAGTTAATATCTGTAGTTTTTAAAGATAAGCAAAATTTCTTATGTTATCAATAAGGTATTAAAGTCAAGTAACCTATATTTATCTGAAAAGAATGTATATCACTGAGAAGACTTTATGTGTATAAAGAATTTAATTAAGATGAATTTATTTGGGACTTTCCAAATGAAATAACCATCTCTAATCAAATAAGAATAATACCCAGGATGGAGAAGGAAAAAAACACTCTCCAGAGCCATTCAGTAACCAAGTGAATAAAAAGTAGGAAAGTAAATCACAACTATGTTTAATAAACATGGTCAAATTTTGTTTTGAAAGGAAAGCTACTTTTAAAAAAATAAGTATACAATACTATTAACTACCTTAGAAAGTTAACCTGAGGAAATACGCTGCCAGGCAAAATAATTTGAAACTACACATAAACCAAATATTTTATATTTAAAGTAATCATATTATGAAAATAAAAGAAAGATTTTGTTTATTGATTTGAGAGAAAAAGAGAGAAACATCAATTTGTTGTTCTACTTATTTATGCTTCATTGGTTGCTTTCTGTATTTGCCCTGACTGGGGATCGAACGCCAAGTCTTGGCATATTGGGACAATGCTCTAACCAACTGAGGTACCTGCTCAGGGCCAAGAGAAGGATTTCAGACTACTTATTTCATCGACAGATCTTTTCATTGTGATCACAGGATTTTAAGTAAACAGTGTTTCCAACAGCAAAAATACTATTAGAAGACTACAAAAATTCTTTTTAAATTAACGTAATGTAGTTCACTAAAAAATTAAGTTTTCTCATTAATTCATTTTAAATGTGACAACAAATGAAGAAACACATTTTGGAATATAATAGTTTGGGTCCCGTTAAAATAAAATCCATGAAGAAGGTCAAGTTTGCTAGGTAGGTCTGACCAAAGAGCTCTATATAAACTTTATTATACTTCATTTGTTGATTTTCCTAATAAAGACTTCACATGAAGAAGAATAAAATGTACTATATGTAAACAGAGGCTATAAATAAATCAATATGCTGTGTATAATGGATGATTATATCTTAGTTATTATTATAACTTCAAAAAATACTTGTCACCTATATTTAGTTAAGATTTAAGTTTTAAAACATGATCAAGGTTTTCTAATCTATTTTTTAAAGACAAAGCTACTAAATAAAAAACACGGTAAGATAAAAATCAAGTTCTATGAATAAATATTTTAAAAGTAAGTACTCTAGGATCACAACACTGACAACACTAATTATCTTTTCTAGTCTCGGCAGTTTTGTTGCGTACTGTTTGGGTGACTGATGGGATAATTTCACTTCATTTTCTCTCCGGTTATTCTGGACTATGGAAGAGAAGAATATTAAAATGATGAACATCTCTAAACAGAGTACTTGATAAAGTTTTTAGTTGAAATAAAATGCTTAAAAAAATAAACCTCAATTAAACAATATATGATTCCAGAGCAAATAACTAAATCCCCATCTTCTAAAGAAAAACTTTGACTAAGAATTTCTGATTAAAAAAATGTCTATTCAGTATTAATATTATTTTAGGACTTTTACATATTAAGACCCTATACTTTTATAAAAAGCCTTTTTGTCAACAGTATTAGCTAGCATTACCATAATTATAAAAAATATGTCTATATATTTTATATCATTTAGTATTTTACTTAGTAAAAATATTTAAATAGCAGGAACCAAAACAGTCAT